TGTTACCAAATTACCGTGTGACCGTATTACTATGACTAAATTACCGTGTTACCAAATTACCGTGTGACCGTATTACTGTGACTAAATTACCGTGTGACCGTATTACTGTGACTAAATTACCGTGTTACCAAATTACCGTGTGACCGTATTACTGTGACTAAATTACCGTGTGACCGTATTACTGTGACTAAATTACCGTGTTACCTAATCACCGTGTGACCGTATTACTATGACTAAATTACCGTGTTACCAAATTACCGTGTGACCGTATTACTGTGACTAAATTACCGTGTGACCGTATTACTGTGACTAAATTACCGTGTTACCTAATCACCGTGTGACCGTATTACTATGACTAAATTACCGTGTTACCAAATTACCGTGTGACCGTATTACTGTGACTAAATTACCGATCTGCTTTACTCATTCTTATAGCTTTCTTTATATTTTTCAGTGCCAGTTGATATTTACCATTTCTCATTAACCATCGGAATGATTCGTCCAGAAAACTAGTAATCAGTAAACGGTAAACAGTGACTGAAACCAACATGGTCGTAACAGGAACGCGATACGATAGTTACTTGGACGGTATCCGAAATTTGGACCTCCTAACACCCACGTTCATCACTTGGGATCTTTTAGCTTCCCTGTTGCGTCCATGTTGCATATAATCTGATCGAAGGAATTCAAAATTTCCAAACTAACTCTACGTGTGCCTGCGATCGCCAATGAGCTTGATGCGTATTTTAAAAAAAGCTATTAAACCTATTGGTTGCATGTGAGTTGCGATCGGTTCTTATGACCAATATTTTTAATATGCAATTATGGTGATCTCAATGGTATTGGCAACTATTACCTATGAAAAGAGAAGTAGGGCTATAGACGAATTAATATTATTCATTGTGGAATGTGTATACTTACAAAAATTGAACAATAACATGAAGAGCAGATGCTGTGTATGCCACCTGTAAATGACGCCAACTTTCAAATCTCATCAAGTTGCTTATACCAGTCATAATGATTGCTGAGCAAACAAACGATATGGCGATACTTGGCAGGAAACATCTCAATTCCATATGTTGCCTGAGTTACGACAATTCCCTAAAAAATGCATGATGATCAACAATAAAAACTTGACCAAAAGGGTTGACAACTACGGAGCCCCTTAGGCGCAATTGTAAACATATTTATTTATTATTTCGTTTAAACGAATTAGTTATTTCGTTTAAACGAATTAATTATTTCGTTTAAACGAAATAAACATAGGGTATTTCGTTAAAACGAAATAATTATTTCGTTTAAACGAATTAATTATTTCGTTTAAAAATAAATATGTTTACAATTGCGCCTTAGGGGCTCCGTAGACAACTTACACCGAGTCGGCGATAAAAAGTTCTGGTAATAGTATAAAGATGATTTATTCTCCTGGGAATCGAAGTCAATGGCCTAATGTCCAGTGCCTGCCTGCCAGTAATGAATGACACATCAAGTCATCCTCTGAAGTACGAAATCCACCCTTTACTAAACACAATCATACTTTATAGGATTTATCACTCAGTTATTTTCCCTAATAAAGGGAAAGTGTAAAGTATTTAAGATTACTTGTAGCTTTCCACATTATGATTAACTTTTAGGGATATCATGTAAGACAAAAACAACAGTAGGACGATAGTTTCAGTAAAAAAAAATACATATGCAGTGTTGTGAAGTAACGCGTTGTTTTGTCAATAAGAAAACACTATTCCCGGTATCTAAATCACGAGAGTATCAAACGTATAATCACAGGGATTTTGAAAGTCGCAAACAAAACACAAGACACTTACGACAATTAGTGTCTTTTATGATACAAACAACTTGATATTTAAACTTAGTTCATGTCGGACCAAGCTTGCGAGGGAAGATAAAGAAATATACTTTCCCGTTGAATAGCACCTATTAACAATCTAAGGATAGCAAATACTAGATAATTCGGCGAAAATGCAATGGAAATCCCTATCACCAATAGTATGCTATGACTTAGCACGTGAACAGGTTTTCTACCAAATGTGTCTGAGAAATAGGGCAGTATGAGAGCACCTAGAGCTTGACCAAGTATTAATAAAGTCTGTGGAAAGTCGCTTAAAGCTTCTCTATCACAAACTAAATCAAACTGAAATATATAATAATCATAGTACAATTAGTCAATGGCAATTTTCTGACATAGTTTTGCTTCAAACCACTTTTTACAGAATATTTGGCTCTAAAATTTAACATACACAAAATTACAAAATGTTTAGGAGAAATCCAACAATTAGGTATTCCATATATTACCCAAATATTAACTCAGAGCGAACAAAACTCGAAAACTATTTATGAAAGCCTAGTAAAAACTATCCCTTACTCAACAAAACACCAAGAAAAATGGAGATTGGTAATAAATAATCACACAAACAATCAGTGGACACAAATATTTGTATGTACCGTTTGAATGCAATCACGATGCCAGTTTACTGTGGTTGCAATACCGAATAATTCATAGGATAATAGGTACAAACACTTATCTCCTTAAAATAGGTATAAAAGATTAGCCTAACTGTGATCATTGTAAATCAGTTGAGACAATATGCCATATCTTCCAGGAATGTCAAAAAATTACAAACCTTTGGAAAGAATTATTTATATGGCTGAAAACTTATCATATAAAGTGTCTTTGAGTTTATGGAAAAGAAACAAACAAATAATTCCACTGTTAACTATATCATTCTTATTGTGAAATCCTATGTGCAAAAACAAAAAGTTGAATCCTACAATTGAATGCACCAGGAAAGTATTAAAAGATTATATTCTGACTGAAAAACTTACTTACTCAAAAAGCCATAACTTATCTGAATTTGAAACAAAATGGAAAAACTAACGACCCTGACTGAATAGCTCGACTACAAGGTGTGTCTTGTTGATGGGGGTGGAGAATGGAAATGTCATTACTTGTAATTTTGTATTTATTATTATATATACAAGCTTATTTATGTATTTAGTATGTAAAATGTAAGACAATTAGGCAGGGCCCCATCTCTGTCATTGTCGTCTGTTTTTCTGGGCAATGATTTTAATAAGATTGCAAGACTGTTTGTATACATTATATACATGTTTGACAATATTCCAACCTTCCGACTCTCACCGCTGACATGGCTTCTGGCATTAGTACACATTGATATAATGAGTAATATAAACTCGTTGTTCTTAAAAATGTGAAAACAGTGAAGGGTCTGAGTTTAATTGTGAACTGAATGTCATAGCCGTTATTTCTGAGAGATTACGTTTAATATTGCTGTACCGATGCACAAATTGCTAAAAGAAACCACTGAAATAGAAATAAAAATACAACAAATGAATGCAAAAGACGTCGCCAGGGTTAGCTACTTACTTCCGGAACAAATGAAACATATTTTCGTTCTGTGTACTGCATACCATAAATACACGGTAATGTTTGTAACTTAGAGGTATTATCTGTAGTGTGTATTACCCCTATACTACATTGATAGTATGTTATATTGGAGCTTGGTGGTAGATCTATGCCATCAATTGTAAAATTGGTACCATCTGGTGGAGCAGCACAGTGATGTGGAACACTCTTACCTGGAAGAATAATAATCTGTCTAAAACAGTTCTAAAACAGGTGGCATTGAGAAATTATAATTATTTATTTATGCAAACTCTTATTGAAGAACTGTGAATAATAGGGACTTCATCGAGTTTGTGTTGTTCTGGTGGCTGAGCACCTTGGTCAGATGCAACAAATTGTCAACTTCCCAGTCCCTGTGGTAGTTGAGCCAGATAACAATTTCGTTTTTGTTCCCTAAACCTATTAGGAAATAATTGACCAATGGCAACAATGATACAACATTTATCTATGCGCAGGCACGAGTCCTTAAGTCCAAAGTCTTCTTCTTCCGTATCAAATATGGATACACCAGGACCATGGTATCAAATGTCAATGTCGGAATTATTTTTAAACACATATTCATCTTCATGCACGCATGCCTTATCTTGTTAAAAGCTATTGTCATTGTTAAAAGTTATTGTCATTACATAAAAGATGCATTTTAGATGGAATGATATCATTCCAATATCGGAGCTTTCATTCTATAGACAAATAAGGTACCTTCGTAGAGAATTGATCGCATACAAGGTGATTACACTAAAGAGTTAAGTGTTTGGAAAGAGTAACACTGCTAAATTTAACTTGTCCTACCAATAAAAATCATATCCAAAAGTTGGAAAGAAGCAGACAAATCACAAAGTATCGTAACAAAAAAATGGAAAATCTGATATCTTGAATATCCACCCAGAGCTAATAGAACTCCATCAACACCCTCCGTAGGCTGCATAACGAGATACTATCCAGAACACAACTCTAAGATAATATTTCTTTCACGACTATAATCTCCAAACAGCAACTTGCATTTGAACACTCATCGTCGTGTGGGGAACAATTTATTCAAGCTCATCTCTTATGAATATTATATAGACAAAACCCATTCAACACGTACTTAAGAGGGTTGAATGAAAAGTTATTTCAGTCGAATTAAAACATATGGAAGTCGGCTGCAGCCATATCTACCCCCGACTTTTCGTCCAAGAGAAAAGGGCGAGAAAAAAGGCTAGGAAAAAGGCAAGGAAAAAGGTTAGAAAAACGGCGAGAAAAAGTCGATAAAGTGAGGGTAAAAAGCGGAGGAATTTTCCTCGCCCTTTTCATCGCCTTTTCGGCGACTATTCGAAGAAGCATTTTACACGCCCACGTGAAACAAGGGGCGTATATAAGCCTCACCCATGTCCGTCCGTCTGTCTGTCAAGGCTCGATTCTTTCCGGATTTTGACAAAACAAAGATGCCCGTGGACAATAAGCATGAGATGTGGGCATATTTATAAGATAGCTTGCAAACAAGGTAATATACACCACTGCCAGCTTTGATTTTAAAGGGGGCTGCGGAGGCACAGTGAAGGTCCAGGGTTCAATCCCGGCATAATATCTTCTGATTGTTCAACCCGATTCCCCCTGTCAGTGATGCAGGTAAGAGCGTCTGACATGAAAAAAGCATCAGTCGTTCGGATGTGACATTAAACCGATGTCCCGTGTGCTACTAACAGTCTGTGCACGTTAAAAATCCCTCGACAGTTTGAAATCTGGAAGGATAATGCCACTGTTTTCCCCCATTGTACCCAGCATGGCGTTGCCCGTCTTCATTAGCCCACATGCTGCAGAAAAAACTCCATTTATTTCATTTAATTTTTGGATGTTAAACAAACATATTTGAAAGTTACAGAATGAAATAGTCAACCTTCAGTCATACACTTTGAACCAGTTTTGTAAAAATCCGGCAAGAATCGGGCCTTTTAGTGTGTTTAAGTTTGAGGTCAATGATAATATAAAATGGTTTTCAATTTTTTTTTATTTTCAGTAAGGTAACAGGTTCATCCATGGGTGATGATAAACAATTTCACCAGGTTTCGTCAAAATCAGTCGAGAATTGTGCTTTCAAACGTGTTTACAAGCTAAAAAGTGTTTCCAAGAACAAGGGCTATAACTCATTAAATATTTTTTTAATTTTCAATTGGGTTCTTCCTTGAGTGACTACAAACACTCAAAGCAATTTTCCTAAAAATGCGTTCAGAATTGTGCCTTTTAGCTAGAATGTTTACGAACTTAAATTGAACGCGTTTTCAGGAAGAAGGGCTATAACTCATACTAAATATGTTTTGATTTTTTCTGATTTTCAATAGGCTTCATCCTTGGGTGAGCACAAACGCTTACACCAAGTTTTGTCAAAATCCGTCTCCAGTATTTACGAGCATTTCAAGAACAAGGCCAATAGATCATAGGCTACTAAATATTTTCCGATTTGACTTATTATCAATTCTTGGTAGGTTACAAACACTCATACCAAGTTTCGTCAAAATCTGTAAATAATTGTATCTTCTAGAGTGTTTACGAGCCATTGTGAACGGACGGACGCATGGACCGACAGAAATGGGTGAGGATATTAGATAAATGAGCAATATACCACGTGCAAGGAACAACAGCAAAAATCATTTATTTTTGTGTTACTTTACGTTCTTTCGAAATCAATTTTGTATGATTTTTTTTTAAATTTTCAATTAATTTAATTAAGATGAACAATTTCCAAAAAAATGTGTACTGAAAAAGATGAATAAAAAAGGCGAGGAAAAAGGCGAGAAAGCGAGGATAAAAAAGGCGAGAAAGCTAAGGCAATAAAGGCGAGGAAAAATTGAGAAAGCGAGGAAAGGGGCGCTTCAATGGCCTTTTTCACTCTCGTTTTCTCGCCTTTATCCGCGTCCTTTTCCTCGCTTTGTCGTCTCTCGACTTTCATAGAAACAAACTTTTTCCATCATAAGAATCTTAGACATAAGAACTGTAACTGCAGTTTGTTATGGAAACGTCAATTCTTTTTTTCTTCGATTTTCCACAGGGCACACAGCCGAGGCTTCACCAGCTGCAGCAAGATTATAACATGTGTAGACCTTCTGAAGTGGCAACGTTGTTAATGAATGTAAATTGGAACGAAATTGCAAAGCCGGTATTTGCACATTACCAAATGTGAAAAAGGCAATAAATCGGCTCTAGTCCCATCTTTGGATTTATTTCATGTAGGTTTTCATGTAATATCTGATATGGTAGCAGTTAAAAAAAATCATAATTTGATGTCGCACACTTTTTTCGGCCGAATTTCGCAATTCTTGACCAAAAAAAGTTTTTGCTTTTTGTCCGATTAATCCGAATTCTTTTTTTGGTGTCAAGATTACTAAAATAGACAAAATGGTACAGTCACATTTTTGGCTTCATTTCCGGTTTAAACGGGAAATTACTTCTGGTGTAATTGATAAATTTAAGCGAAATAATTCTACAGCCGATTATAAAATAAAATTCAGGCATAAGAAGTTTAAAATTCTCGTATTCGATGCTCTATAATTCGGCAGTGGCTCAACCCCCATTGGTTCCAGATAAGTCCCAGAATGTCCTGGTGGACAAGGTAGAAGCTGGGGTTGATTGGCTCCACACTACTAACTACAAAAATCGACGAACCTGCGATTGTTTAGAAAAAAGAAAAATTAGATAGTGGACCACAGCCATATACGCCCACCACGGCATGCGGATGGTAAATATTCAAGATTTGGGGGCAAGGGCAATAACTCTGCTTACTCTTCTAACGGTCGAAAATAGCCCAAATTCGAACTTGTTTTATGAAAATGTATACACATACCGAAATTCATTTGATTCCATCAAAAAATCTAGTTTTTAGTGCGTTTACAAGCAAATGTTGACGGACAGACGGACGGACGGGGGTGCCGACAATATACGTCCACATAGAGAGATGTGGGCGTATAAAAATCGATGCGGGACACCATATTAAAATATTTCGTTTCATGTGAAACAAATGGCCATTCCGGATTTTATCAGAAACCTTTAGTTTCGTTTTACAAGTCGTTTTTGTGCAGTTGGGCACGATGCGGCAAGGTGGGCAATGCGGCAAAACGAACCCACCGCATAAAATGCATTTGTTTAATAAGGAATTTTTTTTATGATTACCTCATTCATGTAGTCATGTCTCAAAAGCTCAGTTGTTTCAGCTTCATAGTTTAAAAAAAAGGAACAGGTTTTAGAATTTCAATATTATCAATTTTTGACCTTGACCTTTGTTCGACTTTGATTTTTGTAGGATCAAAGGTCATTGGCCTTGGCTATTTATACTTTCATATTGATGTCCGACGTCAGTTCCAGGTTTTATAGTCGTATGCATTTTGAGAAATTGATGACTTATATCTCAACAAGGTTTAAGTTCATTGACCTTTGCTATCTGCTGATATTCTTATTTGTGATGTCTGACGACTACTTCCGGTTTCACAATCTATCAAGACAGAAAATGTAACTTCAGTCTGTTCTTGCGCGTGACTTAATGAACCTAAAAGATTTATTTTTTCAGAGTCTCTTGCAATTTGCCACGTATACAAAGTTCCACTCTGTGCAACGTGGGGCTCTATTCGCACTGCATTGTTTTGCAAATGACTATTTTTTTTTTTTTTTTTTTTTTTTTTTGTCTACTTCTGGTCACGCTCCCCAGCCAAAACTGCACATGTCACACATTGTCTGACACTATTATTTCTTATACTTGCGTGTCGCTACTGTTTAAATGTAAAATGACGCATTTTCTTTCAACCGGAAATGACGTATGACGTTAACCATTCATTACGTATTTCGAATTACTGCTCTAATTCTGCATCTATTTTGACCGTAACTTTTGTTTTGTTCATTACTTTAAACCAATGACTAAAAGATAGCACTTTATAAAATTTCAGATTTTGACTTTTGTCGCTGACTTTTTTTGTTTTAATTTTAGCGTTTTTTTCAACTTCTACAATTTTATTTCAATCGGTCTAAAAATTTAATAGTAGATAAGCATTTTGATTCCTGACAAAAATCTATTTTCAAAATTTCGATATCACTTCCGGTTTTTACGTCATTCGCCTCTAAACTTGAAATTTCAACTTCCGGAATTTTGTGGGTTTTTGAAAAATTCTTTTTGAAATTAGTTGAAATTGTCCCTATAACAATTTTGGAATGAAAAAATTTGAACCGGAAGTAACGTGTTAGACGCCATCTTGATGTGACCAAATTTTATAAAAATCGATATTAAGCTTCAGGGGTAAATCTGATTTGTGTGATTTTGGTGTCTAAAGAATCTGCAAGCGATTGCTAACAAAACTTAGGAAGCCGATTTTTGAATTTTGGATTTGTATTTTTTTTATTTTCGGTTTTATGTTTTCAGTAATTGTCAAAAATATTAAGGCTCATATCTAGTGACTTTGACCTTTGGTGACCTTGTGACCTGAACAAAAGTTGTTGCCCCTTACGAGATATATCCGTTGATATCCTCACTTTTGTTGTGCATCGTTAACTTCCGGTTCTACAGCCATTGGAAAATCACGATTTTAACTTTGAAGAGCTCTGTCACGTGACCTAATTAACATACGACAAAAATTCTTATATATTCTTTGAGTGCAGAAAATCTCCTTTTTGGTGATATATCACACTTGATATTTTGATCAAAATTGCGCGTTTTAAAAATCGAAAATCGAAATGACTTCTATAGTAACTGTGCGTAAAATCACGGTGTCTATAATTTACCGACAGTCACCGTTGCCCTAAAAAAAAGTTTAACTACGAATATCTCATGATCTAATGATTGTAAAGACTTGAAATTTTGAACATTATTTAACAATGTACACATCATCACAGACAAATTAAAATTTTTGAAGTGGGCGTGGCACATCCGGTGTGCATTTACCTGAAATATTTGCAATTGTTATAACTCTCATAGTTTTCAAATGTCACCCTAGAAATTTTGCATGAAAATAGATCACTGCTTAGGACAATTTATGATAAGATTACAGTTGTTTGCATTCTTTACTTTAAAAAGGGAATAGGTTTAACAATTTTATAAATTTTCATTTTTGATCTTTAGCATGAATGACCTTGACCTTTGCATGGTCAAAGGTCATTGACTAAGGATGACCATTCTTACTTTGATCTTTGATGTCCGATATATACTTCCGGTTTTGCAGACGTCCAAAACAGCAATTTTCGAAACTTCAAAGGCTCATATTACTTTTATTTGACATTTGTTGACCTATTGACCTGAACAAAAGTTGTTGCCCCTTACGAGATATATCCGATAATATCTTCACTTTTGTTGTGCATTGTTAACTTCCGGTTCTACAGCAATTTAATAATCGCGATTTTTAACTTTGAAGAGCTCTGTCAAGTGACCTAATTAACATATAACAAAATTTCTTATATATTCTTAGAGTGCATGATCTCTCCTTTTTGGCGATATATCACACTTGATATTTGGATCAAAATTGCGCGTTTTAAAAATTGAAAATTTTGTACTGACTTCTATGGTAACTGTGCGTAAAATCACGGTGTCTATAATTTACCGACAGTCACCGTTGCCCTAAAAAAAGTTTAACTACGAATGTCTATCACGTGACCTAATTTACATAAGCGAAAATTTATCTTTTGTCTTTATTACACGCAATCTATTCTTTCAAATGATATATAACACTTGGTATTTTGATTGAAATTGAATTTGAAAATTTTGTATTGACTTCTATAGTAACTTTGCGTAATTTTAACGGTTTCTATAATCCACCGACAGTCACCGTTGCCTTAAAAAAACTTTTAACTACGAATATCTCATGATCTAATGATTGTAAACACTTGAAATTTTGAACATTATTTGACATTGTACACATTATTACAGACAACACAAAATTTTTGCAGTGGGCGTGGCAAATCCGTGTTACTTTTACCTTTACCATAAATTGTTCAAATTGTTATAACTCGAAAAGTTTGCATTTTTCACCATCAAAATTTTACAAAAAATTAAAGCACTATTTGGGACAATATCTGATAGAGTTACATTTTGTTTAGACCTTTTACTTTAAAAAAGGGAATAGGATTTACAATTTATAAAATTTTGATATTTTGACCATTTACATGCATAATCTTGGTCTTTAGAAGCTCAAAGGTTATTGATCTACGATGTCCATTCATACTTTTATCTATGATGTCCGACATATATTTTCGCTTTTACAAACGTCCCAAAACAGCAATTTTCAACACTTTTAAGGCTTATATTCTCTTTTATTTGACCTCTGTTGACCTCTTGGCCGAAACACAAATTATTGTACCTTTCCAAAAATATTTTCATTTTTGTTGTGCGAATTGAACTTTAAACTTTACAGCTATTTGAAAATTCGACTTTTTACTACCGAATGTTAACACCTTTTAGTACCGAATGGTATCAAATTCGTGCGTCTTTTCACTACCGAACGGTAAACGGTTTAAACGATTTTTTCTACTATTGAACGTTTACATGCTTTTCTTTCCGGTAAGAAATCCCATTGTGACTTTAAAATGCAACGTTTTATCGATGTATCAGGTTGGATGCGCACTGCTTCGGTACCGTTATAACGGTTCTAGTTATATTATTGTTTTTGCACCAGACCATTGTGTGAGACTTTCCATTGAAATTATATGGAATAGAACACACTGGAAGAAGAGTATCCAGCAAGTATCTGCAATTAAAGAGCTAACACAGATACATGCTGACGTGGCCCCCACTTTTTGCGATAGTGCCCCTTCCTTTTACATGCGGACGTAGCCCCTACTTTTGGCAATAGTTCAAGCATGTCAGAGAGAATTGATGGTGACCCGCGTCCAGGATAATCTTCAACAGCAACTATTCCGGAAAACATTACCCGGGTGCATTATACATGGTGATCGAGTTGAACGACGATTGACCACTCATATTTTCAGTGCTATGGGCATCTTTCATATAAGGAATGAGCACACCAAACCAACATCTTGAGACTGCTGCAAAAGTGATGACTTAAATCTTTTGGTTTCCCTTTGCTATTCTGTTGATTGATTATCTTGAAAAAGGGCAGACTATCGATGGATATATTATGGTAACCTACAACCTAAAGCTAAGAGACGGTGAATGTGCTGTGAAGGAGGGCCTGTTCACAAATCATGCCATTGACAATTCCCCAAATTGAAAAAGAAACTAATCGGTACCCAATATCTCCTGTGATTACTTTTTATTACACTTAACTTATATAAAAGAAATACAGTAATCTGATTGGATGACAAAACTAAATTTAAAATCAATTTTAGTGACGTAATTATCAGACACTGCTTCACCTATTGTCGTTATAGGACTGAGAGCTAAAGTGTTGCCTTGCTCACCCTACATCGACTTTTGATGCTTTGTTTTTACATTAATTTCATTGGAAATGGTTTTGTTTTGCACTTAAAAATTCGCATTGTGATCTTGAGTAAAATTCCCTGGCTATTTAAATCGCCATGATAGGGCGAAAAAATAAGTCCGTCTGCCTCTTGAAAAAATAAACGTAAAGGCCTTATATGTGACAGGTTTTTTTAACCGTTCAAAGTGGTTTTAATTCTCCAACTTTTGCCGCTTTTCTTTCCCGCTTTGGATAGAGAAGTTTGAGATCTGCCATAGTTTGTGGAAGTTGTTTTTCTCGTGTTTCTGGTAACCATATCACTAGAAAAGCTGATACTAAACAGAAAATACTAAATATCGCTCCTGGTCCCCATGGAATATGTTTGATCTAAAATTAGAAATATTACTTAATTTAGGTCTCAAAATATTCAGTTTGGTGAACATCTTGATATCACGAGAAAAGGAATAAAATGGTTTTACTTTCTTTCGTGTTACTACAAAAGGGTAAGATAGTGCACCACAGCCATATACGCCCACCATGGCATGCGGAAAGTAAATATTCAAGATTTTGGGACAAGGGCCATAACTCTTCTACTTACGGTAGAAAATAGCCCAAATTCGAACTTGATCTTCGTTTTATGAATATGTATACACATACCGAATTTCATTTCATTCCATCAAAAAAAACTAGTTTTTAGAGCGTTTACAAGCAAATGTTGACGGACGGACCGAGGGACCGACGGACCGAGGGACCGACGGACCTTCGTTTCATGAATATGTATGCACATACCGAATTTCATTTGATTCCTTCAAACACTCTAGTTTTTTAGAGCGTTTACGAGAAATTGATGTTGATAGAAGCACTTACTGTATAGAGGTTAAAGGGCGATAACTCCTCAAAACTGTCGTAAGAGGCCTAAATCTTGGAAAAGCCTTAAATTTAATCAGAAGTAAACTAAACTTTCTCAAACCTTTCGATTTGGGTCCAATAAAATCCATTTCAAGTTTCATCAAAATCGGATGAAAAGTAAGAGAGTAACAGCATATTCAAGATTTTGGGGCAAGGGCAATAACTCTGCTTCTAACGGTCGAAAATAGCTCAAATTCGAACTTGATCTTCGTTTTATGAATATGTATACACATACCGAATTTCATTTGATTCTATCAAAAAATCTACTTTTTAGAGAGTTTACAAACAAATGTTGACGAACGGACCGACCGACCGACCGACGGACGGACAGTGGTGCCGACAATATACGTCCACATAGAGAGATGTGGGCGTATAAAAAGGGAACATCGAAAGCTTTTCTTGTCTGAGTAATGATGGTGTGAAAATTAACATAAATTACCATTAGCCTTGAAAACGGTGCTATCATACCACCAGTTCTAGCTGCAACTGACGCCGAGCCAAGAGCAACATTCCTAAAGCAGAAAATTTATATTCATTTTCAAATATCCCAGATAGTAACGGTGCTTATTACATACGCTACAATTCATGTGTATCACTCGGGAAATGTACAGTGTACAGAAAAATTCTGAAAAAAATCTATCTGCTATAAAGCTTGAAGTGTAAATTCGGATAATCAAAGGTACATAGTTTGAATTATGTGCAGGGGAAATAGACTTGCATAGACTCTTTTGACTTTTATTTGATCTGATTTTGATAGCATCGATAGCTTTAGATTAAAAAAAATCATTGATGCTGAAATATACAATTTCTCGCTATTTTATACATTTCCAAACACCTTTCAATTTAGTCAACATCGACATAAGGCTACTTTATTTATCTAATAGCTTCGTGGAAAAGAACAAAATACGTGAACAAAATTTTCTAAATAGTTTCATCTTGTAATAAGTCATTACAATTTTTCTGCGCAATCGCAACTTACCTTACATTAGTAGGGTAGAGTTCTGGCGTGTAGAAAAAACAGACTGAAAATGCCCCCTCCGCTCCTATTATACCCAACAGACTAAATGTTGTTATGAATGCAGAGGTTGTGTGACCCGCTGTAAGAAGAAACAGTTTCAAAAATAAAATAGATGCTGGCATAACTCTTTTTATTTATATGTATTTAGTTATTAATATTTCTACTATACAATTTTTATTTCATTGGCTGTCTTCATTTGTCATAAAATAACCAGATAAAATGAGCGAATGGTTTGAAAAAAGAAAAGACCAGAGTAGATATCATTCTGTTTCGGCAAAAAAGCTTGTTAATAACCCGAATATCAAAAACTCTACTAACACGTGGTTGTGTTGATTATCGTTGCCAGCAATAGAAAAATACCAGTACTTAGATAAAACGTAATAGCAGTTTTCTTCCTACCAACTCTGAAACATAGAATTCAGACGACCAAGTAAGACATCATCAAATGGTCAATAGCGGCTTCGTGTGTCCCAATTTTCTAAATAGTTTGACACGATAATTTCTATATTAGATGTATGAATAATACCAACTAAATGAATTTCAGGTATTTAGATCAAATTAAAAACCAGCACCGACCTGTCTATGATACCCCAGAAAATTATAGCCGTAGGCAAACCCATGAGAGCATTTAAGAACACATTAAGATGAGGATCTCCTGACAAGCTAGTTGAAGTAAAAAACAGTCCAAAAAAGGTCATGGCAGCTGTACACCTAAAAAAAATCATTGAATGAATGCATTGCATTGCAAAAATAAATGGTTTGACAAAGTAAGTAAGACTATTTAAAAGAGATATGTACCCTCCCAATTCGCCATTAGCGAAAAAAATCCCACCTGAAAACTTGACAATTGACAGTTTCTAATTTTTCAATGGAGGCCGCCATTTTCAATCACTATCCTTACTCCGAATGTTACGATATCGTTTTGAATGGTGACGTATCGTCTGCAAGGTGAAGTTATTAGTTTTTAATGACGAGAGCATGAGATTGTGAAAGCAACTGTTAGCCGTGATGAACGCTGCTAAAATGATGTGCAGTAAATCATTATGGAGATATCAGTATTGCAATATTTAAAACTGCTGAATATTGCTCAAAGTCTCAAAGAACAAAAAAGATTCAATATTTACTGCAACTAAAACATGACCCGCAGTGCCAATGTACATTGTAGGCTATACTCTGAAACCGAAATTTCAAATACTACTTACCACATAAACCAAATAATGAAGGTATTCAAAGCCAATCTCTTCCTCTTAAATATATCCAATAAACTCAACCTCTTTGTTTTGGCACCACTGGAATCTCCGTTTTCCCGAAGTCCATGCCCAGGAATATCTGTAGATTCTTCTACTACTTTATTGAAAGCTTCTAGGACAAGCTCCCGATCTGCTTTACTCATTCTTATAGCTTTCTTTATATTTTTCAGTGCCAGTTGATATTTACCATTTCTCATTAACCATCGGAATGATTCGTCCATAAACCTATTTGAATTACAAGATGCAAAGTTTGTACAGTTTCCTACAGCTATAAAGTAGTTTTATCTCTCATTCAAGGGTTTGATAAGAATCTTTTAATCAGATCTAAGACTTATAGAAGATAGAAGATAACATACGCCCACTGGCAGCTGTCAGAAATGAGAACAGTTCTAACTAAAAAAAAAAGAATGTTCTCATATAAAACATAACGAAGTTAACGTTCAATCGATTTCCCTTCAAATAATCTTTTAAAATAAATAGTAATAATTCAAATACAACAAATAATTAAAGTCACATTAATCAAATCAGTATTAGATGTTGAAAGCCTGGAACAAACCTAATTGTACGTTTTGTTCTTCTCAATGGCATTTGATCATTATACGCACTTTAATGTTACCTACGTTCTATAATAAGTAGGCTATGGAGTGATAGTGTAAACCCAAACAAAATGTTTTATGATTAAAGTGCTTCTATCATTTCAACAAATTCGATGCGGTTCACTAAGTCAAGGGAAATAACCAAATCATGCATTAATTGCCAAAATCGAACATGATCGAGATCTTATCAATATAAATATGCATACCATGATTCATCATGGCAATTAACATTGCCGACTCCGATCTGTCGTGTCTACAAGAAATGTGGGCGGACGGGAAAGTACGTCCATGCACCCATGCGTGCTTATAAAAACGGATCATCTAATAGAGATGTAATTGAATCCAAAAAGTGTAATATTCTTTATGCTCGTGATTGGTTGACTTGATTTTTATCTTGGTAGTGATGATGAATGATGTAAAATACTTACAGAAATTGGACAATAACATGAAGAGCAGATGCTGTGTATGCCAACTGTAAATAACGCCAACTTTCAAATCTCATCAAGTAGCCTATACCAGTCATGAAGATCGAGGAGCATGTCAACATAATTCCACCAAATAAACAAATAACACGGCGATATCTAGTAGGAAACATTTCCGAGGCATATGTTGCATACGTCAGCACAATACCCTATAATGAATGAGAATGAAAAACGTTATTAAATTCGCAAAAGAAAATTAGGTAGGAGAGCCGACACTCGGAAGCACATTTCTTTCTTGCTTTTTATCAAAGGTATACATTACAAAATTCAATGGCCAACTATCAATATGGCAGGAAAATACCGAGATAAAAAAGTGTGTCTTCAATTCAGATTCCATTTTCATACAGTAGTGACTTCTTAATCATAGCTCACAGCCGTAATTTTAACACTGTGCTTGGCATATGTTAATTTTCTGTAGTCAGATTGCTAAAAGAAATATACTTTCCTGTTGAACAACACCTATTAGTAGTCTGAGGATAGCAAATACTAGATAATTCGGCGAAAATGCAATGGAAATCCCTATCACCAATAGTATGCTATGACTTAGCACGTGAACAGGTTTTCTACCAAATCTGTCTGAGAAATAGGGCAGTATGAGAGCACCTAGAGCTTGACCAAGTATTAATAAAGTCTGTGGAAGGTCGCTTAAAGCTTGTCTATCACAAACTAAGTCAAACTGAAATATATAATAATCATAATACAATTAGTCAATAATGTTCTTATTGTCAAATTAAATGCAATGATTGCAAGACTGTTTGTATACATTATATACATGTTTGACAATATTCCAACCTTCCGACTCTCACCGCTGATATCATCAACCTCGAGCTTGCCAGACACGCCATTGATTTAATGAGGATGTATGCTCATTGTTCTTAAAAATGGAGGAGGGGTGCTCTTCATTGTGAAAACAGTGAAGGGTCTGAGTTCAATTGTGAACTGAATGTCATAGCCGTTATTTCTGAGAGATTACGTTTAATAATAATATTGCTGTACCGATGCACAAATTGCTAAAAGAAACCACTGAAATAGAAATAAAAATACAACAAATGAATGCAAAAGACGTCGCCAGGGTTAGCTACTTACTTCCGAAACAAATGAAACATCTTTTCGTTCTGTGTACTGCATACCATAAATACACGGTAATGTTTGTAACTTAGAGTTATTATCGGTAGTGTGTATTACCCCTATACTACATTGATAGTAAGTTATATTGGAGCTTGGTGGTAGATCTATGCCATCAATTGTAAAATTGGTACCATCTGGTGGAGCAGCACAGTGATGTGGAACACTTTTACCTGGAAGTATGATAATAGGCCTATATCTTAACAGAAGGGATATTAAGATAATGTACTTCTGCAAACTCTTATTCAAGATCTGTAACAGAAAACGAACGACAAAAAGTTCTGAAAACCAAGCAATTAGAACAGATGCAAATAATTGCCAACTGGTAGCGCAGTCTAATTAAAATAAGACCAATTTTCGTTCCGTTTTTGTATTAGCTTTAATTTTTAATACAGCTACATTAGTAAGAGTCTAAAGACTGGCCTCTTAGACATTCGTCAAAAAAAACCTTTTGAAATTTGTGCAATGCACAAGCAGGTGTCATCAGATTAGGTCAACGAGATTAGTTTGAAGTGGCTATTTTAAAAAAAAAGCTAATAAAAAACGGAATGAAAGTTTCGTCTAATTTTATTTAGTCTGCTGATGTTGAAATTTAAATCCTTTATCGATTAAAGTTACCATTTCAGGCGAGCAGATATCTGTTTCTGGTCATTTGTGTTAAAAGCATGGTGGCAGCCAAACGTGGCTTTGTTGAAATGTTTGTGCCTTAGAGCTATTGAATTGGTTATTTATGTACCGTATTTATTGCATTTCTACTTTAACATGATACAACCTGTGCCAATGCTAATGGTTACAATGATATGATATATTCATGTTAAAAACTGTAAAAGATTGACAATTCTGATTGTAATGATGTAATCTTATCACCATCCATTGACGTGTCTTATGCAATGTGACCTTTGCAGAGGTTCTACTTTAGTAGAAAGTTTGATACTTCAAAGAGTTAGGTACCGTACATTGTGTTTGGAAAGAGTAGCAACAAAACTGGTCCTACCAATAAAAACCATATCTAAAAGTTGGAATGAAGCAGACAAATCACAAAGTAACATCAGGCAAAAGTGAAAAATCTGATATCTTGAATATCCACCCAGAGCTAATAGAACTCCATCAACACCCTCCGTCGTCTCCATAACGAGTATTTTTTTCAGAACACAACTTTATAAATCCAAATGTTAATGTATAGATGTTATTATCGTCGAGACCTCAGTGTTTAAGAAACTATTTGCATTTAAACTTTTAACTTGACTGTATTTATCTTGTGAGATACAAAGTTTTCATGTTGACCCCTTGTTACCATTAGCATACATAGCGAGAATTGGCCCCATTTAATGCATACTTGACCTACTTAGTTGGCTCAACTTTGAATGGACATGTCTATCCTACTAGGCCTATCTCCAGATTGTTTTGTGATGACATGATTTTGGAGAGATTAAAAACCATGGCTGGTCCCACGGGACTACACACGTTTGTAAATAAAGACATAAAAACAAAACCTACATGAAATATTTATTCAAAATCAGAATATAATTGTTTTACAGTTTATTAAAGTATCATAATAATAATGGCATACATCGAGCGTCTGCCCTATCGACTTAATCACACGTTGCCGTCCACGTTGTTCATAAATAAACAAGGTCTACCGTAAAAGATCGATTCAGCTGTACGGAAAGTGTCGAACATTCCTGAATGAGGCAATTGCCGAAAGTTACCGAATGTGCTTATAAATGCTTTACAATGCCAACGTCATAGTCCGTATTCAGAAAATAGTCCGTTTCAGTTTCATGCCACAAATCGTTCTAGGATGCCCTAAAAATGTGTTTGGTGTAATAGCAAGTTTCTTCGGTAGAATGCCTCCGTAATGTCGGGTAACGTAGAAGTTATCGAAACACTTTTATAAGTATTCTCCAGCTTTAATACTCCTTCAATTCAGTCTTTATAATATATTCTTTGTGTGTAGCCTATTCGTTATGGCTATTATCTATTTGTGAAGCATCAGAATATCAAACAAAGCAGATTGTGCAATATCGTTATGAATAATCATTAAAACTTCGTGAATGTAATCTTTTCATAACGTGACAATATTCTCTCTTATATCAGACAGGTGTTTCTTAAGACACGACCACCTGAAGCAATCAATAACCACTCGCGCTCTGTTGTTTTCAGGAAGTAATGAATTGTTAGTCTTGCAGCACCCATACGATGCAATAAATCAAATGTATATAATACATCACTCCATAGCCTATCCATTATAGAGCGTAGGTAACCTTAAAGTGCCAATTTATAATACCTTTCTGTGTTCAAATTGAAGAAGTTAGTTCCCGATTTGGCTCGCAAGCCGACGGTGCAAGGGAAATAACTCAGTGGTAATGTAATATCGATTTTTTAAAAGTGTCAGTTAAATAAGAGTATAGAGACAGTGTTTTCAGTAACAGTTGAAGTCAACGCACACAATATCTATAAGGATATAATTTGTAGCATTTATCTCAATGATATGGAATAACAAACCAGTTATCAAACATGTCGTGATTAACAAATGTGGATTTTACCATTTTTACCTTTGTGACCTATTGTGGGTGTCGCCATTAGGTTGTAATTTTATAGCTGATTAAATTGATAAATAATATTAGATATGAAAATCTATATTGGTATCAAAGATGGCGACGAAAGTAAGGTAAGTACTTTCAATTTCTATATAAATAATTCAAGTTTCTACTTTAACAAATTTAGTCAAATGACAAAAAAATAATAATTGTATAGATTATAACAATAGTATGATATGATATGATATGATATGATATGATATATAGAATCTACTGTTACAAACTATGTCATATGCTTATCGTGGTGAAGTTTTCTCATAATACGAATAGAAACTTTTAGGAAATCAAATTTGAATTGCAAGATTTTGTGGTGTCAAAAGTTCCAAAGAAAAATCAAAGTGTTGTCACTTCCTGCACCACCGACAATTTCGTTTTCCATCTCAGCTTAAAAGTATGTAGAATCAGGCTTTGGAACTCTCTGTTGAAATGGAAGTTGATTATTTTAAGACAATAAGACAACGCCCCTTGATACTCCTATCTAAGCTATCTAATATATCAAGACTATCAGTTTCTACACTATTTCTTTGAAATGTCTATAGCATAATATAATTATGATTATTATTTATTCATTGTTGTACCACCGATCAAGATTATTATCAATATCTGGAGTGGCACGCAAGTTATAATTGACACAGGGACTTTATTTGAAATTTAGGAGGTTGTGAAAGCACAGGTCGGTCATAAAAGAAAACACATTTTTATTTGATAGCCACATTGTTTGGGTATTCAAACCTTTTTGCAAAACTTTTTGGTACAAATTTTTAAAACAATTTTATTTGGCAGTAAATCCTACCAACCAAACAAAATCAACCTACAAATGATAGTTAAAGTCATTAAAATTATATTTTATAAACTATTTAGATGGTCAAAATGGGATGTCATTATTACCAACATTTTTGTCTTGGCCTATGGAACTCACAAGAAAAGACCTCTCTCGTAGAAGCATAAGCAAGTATGTTGTGATGCAGATTCTGCATTGAAATTTTAAATGGGAGATTCGTTTCGGCCAAATTGTAGGTTATGGCGAATGCATTAGTTTAGCAACTCTTTGCGGAACAATATACATGAAGTTATCTTCTTGTGGCCTTGACCAGTGCTTTTATAGGAAAGTATCTTCTATAACACCCAACACCAGCCTGATTACTTGATGTTTATTCCATCTAGTTGGTTCTTAGATTTGAATGCATCTTCTATATCTGTGACGTAGGACTGTCATTAGAAGAATCGTCTAGTTGACTTGACACAACTGTATGACATGCAGTAATTAATTAATTACAGGTGTAAAACGTCTGTTGCCTGAGGATTTTCATTTGATTCTAATTGGTTTGATTGATTAGCGAGAGTTACAGAGTAGAAATCTGACGTGTTAATTATAAGAGTAGGCTTATGGTATTTATATATTCTAAGTTTCAGAAGCATGTCCGTTTAGGTCTTTTATGGTCTTCCAATTATATCTGAAATAGAAACAGTGGATTATGGAATATTACTTGAAATGCTAGTCCGATTCAAATGTAGATTTAAATGTATCGTTTCTTTGAAGTAGCATCTGACGTTTAGGTCACCAATATACATGTAAACTGTTCTAAAGATTTGTAATGAAGTTTTGTGACAATATTGCCTGTTGAAACTGTGAAAATCGGGTATCAACTGCGTATAACTTTTAGCGAAACAATTTATTTGACATTGATTTGGACTTTCATATTATTCATTTGTGAAGTCGATTTGTTCTTAAAGAGTAAGACATTCCCTCTCGCTATACCATTATGGTCACAGAAAAACAAACAATTGGCTACATCCACTATCATATTGGATATCAACGCCCTTCTATATAGGTTATTCCGACCTCATCAAATTATCCTTACCTATAGAGAAGTATGTGGGTTGTATATAATGGATCTATTGATAATTCATGAATAAAATGAAAATGTGATGTTTTATCGATAAGTCGATAAGATGCCGTGCCGTTTTAAATTTCTAATGATATGGACATTTACATGTATCTATGTTGGAACCCCAGATCTCAAGCAAAATTACTTAAACGGCTACATGGATACCGTAATGTCACACATTGCACAAAACAACAACGGCCAAATATGTTTCCTGTAGAAAAAAAAACAGATGAACGCATTGAATTCATTGATTTAAGGGTCATCAAAGCATGCCAAAAAAGTCAGAAAATAAGCTACCATGTTAAATGCCAAGACAAGGTAGAAAAATCTAGGATACACTTGTAAGTTCAGACTTGATCTCTTTATAAAGTTACTGTATTGATTAACAACAGATTTCGCCTAGCAACGATTATTTGTTGACGAAACGAATTCCATAGGTAATATTGCTTTCCGGAAATTTCATGTCTTCCTGACATTTTTAATGTTAAAATGTAGGACGAATTTCATGCTGTCAACTATTAGGTTATGTCGTATCAAAGAACCGCCTCAGATAGGAGTGGAGAAAAAATATCTGCTTGTGCATGATTTGATTAGATATATTGTAATAAAATCACTTTTTTTTAACATCGTTCTGTCGTGTTTCATACAACTATAATGACCAAGCCAACGATTCGTATAGTCAATTTCAGTGAATGCAATTACATAAATATATTTTGAAGTAAAAACGTTTTGGTTGTCTGGCCATAGGGGGGTAGTTCCTAGGCTTCATCTTTAGCTTTCGCGCTCTCAGAACAATATGCAGTTACTGCTTGTTGAAGACTAATTTATCTGTAAAACAGATATTATTTGACTCGGGAACGGATCATTCTCAAATGAAACGTATAGGCTACAACCATGTACCACAGAGGACAAATCGGAAGATCGGACTTCTACATTTTGCAATTGCTGTATATACATGGTCTTGCTGCATTCCATACAAGTATCATAAGTGAACAGCAACATGCAAGACAGTACTTACAGCCCATGCAATATGCCATTTATTTAGCTCTTATTTACCAGAAGGTCGGAAAATATATGCTCATAAAACAGTAAATCACCATTGTAACTGGACTTTGATTTAAATATAGGTCAAGCTATTGTTTGTTTGTTTACAGAAAGACGAGAAGAATCGATACAAACTTGTTTATTCCCTGGGACATTCCAATAGCCTTCTTATAGTCAATGAAATGAAAATGTGACATCCGTCAGGCATTTAATATCTACTCTCTTATGTTCTGTCAATCTTAAATGAAATATATTTTCTTATCATGAAAAGAAAATCTGTAGAGAATTTTGCATATATATATTCTCAGAAATGAGACAATGGCTCTCTGTTTTATGGTGGAAAAACATAACTTATGTGATTACCATTTCAAAAAATTAAGTTTAAAAAACAATTATTGTTGTATTTAATAGAACAGTCGTAGAGTTCGTTGTTGGTCAAGGAGTTTATGGTATTGATGTAGAAATTAGAAGATTGAGTGAAATGTCGTTTTCAATCCATCATGTATTATTGTAAAACGAGATTGATACTTTCAATTATCTACAGGAGGATACAAATCTAATATTTTGTCGTGATTAGCCAATGTACCTTATCTACACTTCCATAACTAGGCCCTATAATAATATATCCACGTTATCGCTTTCTCGTAATCTTGTTACATGTATTTTCTAAGAAAAATAAGGTAGGACTACATACAGCTTAT